AAATTTGTGGGCAGCCAGACTTAAATGGCTTTATCTTTGTGAGAAATCAAAAGCGAACACTAAAGTTTTCTGTTTCCTGGCAGTAAATAAACTCTGATTCCGTGTGGTACAGGCTGTCTGAACCCACACATGGTGAACTACTGGCCTAAAGCAGTGATACCGTTTGAAGTATCTTATTCAGAGAACTCCATCTCCATTTCATTCTTCTCACATTCTTTGTCCATCATATGTTAGTTTCTCACATAAAACTCTGGGTTTACACAATCTTAGTTTATATGTGCCTAGAACAATACACAGAAAAGAAGTTAAAGGACTCTTATTTTTCAGATGAGAAGAGCTGAAAACCCAAGTCAGTGTAATCAGCCAGCATGTGTTCTTGAATTTGTTAATGCATAAGGCCCTGTGTAAGATGTTGCTGGAATATACCAAAGAAACAGGAGATGTCATTTGTGGCCATGGGAGATAAAACACACAACAGATCAGAGACCTTTTACAAAGCAGCATGTGACAAATCCAAACCACTGTGGCGCAAACTAAGGACGTGCGTATATGATACATTTTACCTGAGGCTACTCTGGACTCGAGTTTCCATGCCTGGGCCTTGTTTTGATAAAACAATCCTTTAGGCCTGCAAGCTGGAAGTTATGGTGGGAAATTAGGTAATTGAATCAACTGAATCAATTTTAATGCTTTTACCTGATTTGTAAGTATAGATAGGGGTTTGATTGATGTACGTGTAAATAGTGTTAGTATCTTTATTTGACTATGTGATTTAAAAAAATAAATTTATCCATTTTTTGCAAGTAAAGCTGGAACCCAACATAGAAATTCTGGTTATACTTATGAATCATGATGATTTGGAAATCCAAGACTAGAAATATAATACTCTATAATTCTGTATAAAACACATTCCTTATTAAATTCTGTATTGATTTAAACAATTTACTAATTTTATTGCATATTCACAATATACAGAACTCTCAGTGAAGCATAGAGAGTGCATGTATGATGGAACACGAGCCTCAAAGAGTTTACAGTTGTAAAAAACTATAAAGAATGGAAAACAGTATTGAATCAAACCTGTATCAGAGGTTCAATAGGTATGTACACAGAGCAATTTCTGTCTCTGTTGGAAACTGAAAGAAAGTCATACCACTTTTGACTATTTGCATTATCTATAAGCCTTGTCCAGGCTGATAGGACACAAATATTTGTTTTAGTTACTCAGCTTTTGTTGTTTTGTAGAATTGAGGAGGTTATGATTTCTGTTTTTAAAATTCAGATTGACATCATGAGAGCATAGCTGAAACTAAAATTAGCATTTCTCTTTGGCACACTAATCAGTGCTACAGCAAATTTTTAGGCTTCTGAACTTGGACACATACGTTTTCACACTATTTTTCACCTTTTATTTGCATTTGAGTTTTGGTTTTTTTTTTCTTTAAACTTTTGGTTTTAAGGCAAAATGAGAAATGGGAATTTGTAGGATTAAGGGTGGTAACTTGAGGTGCTAGAGCTCTTCAGAGTTTTTCTCTTTTGTGATTTTTGTATGATGTGTTTCGTCATTCAGAAGACATCTCATTTTCTCACCAGCACGTATTACAATAGTATGACTTCTCATTTTAAAAAATATTAAAAAATAGTTATATATCCCTTGTATCTTTCTGATTATGAGAATAAATGGGCTTGTCAACAGGGCCACAAAAATGACATTAAATGTATATCCAAATCATTTAACACTTTACGTATCTTTCTGTACATCAAGAAATGTTGGTTTTTCAGAGCATTAAGTTCTAAATCTACATCTGTGAAGATTCAGATTTTATATTTATGAAAGCAGGAGAATAAACTGATTTGCCATAATTAATACTAGGGAAACTGTCTAAAATGAGAAAAAAACAGTCTCAGAAAATATGTTTTTAGTTTTCTGGCATTTTTGTAGAAAAGGCAACAATAGTCATTATGTGGCCTCATTTATAACTGAAAGTCATAAGCTCATGCTTTTAATTTGTGTGGCAATTTTTGTTCGGTATTCAGAAAAGAAAGTCATGTTAACCATGAAGGGCATGAGATACTAAAGAGAAACAGCAGGAAAGATTTAGAAGAGAAACAGAAATAACTCTGGATTATATGCATATACAGTCGAGTTTCTAATTTTTTTTCTCAACTCTTACAACTTGTACATACACAAGGTGTGGTTTTCGGTGTTGAGGATGCAAGATGCTCCCGTGGACAGCTGCAGACAGTGGTTCTCATTTTCTCTTAATAGCTTCATTGAGTTATAGGTCTTATATATTTTATGCATAAAATCCACCCACATACAGTTGGGTGAGTTTTAAGAAACTGATACAGTTGCAAACCATCACCACAATCCAGTTTGAGAACATTTTCATCAGCAGAAAGCTCTCTTGTATCCGTTTGTTGTCCGTCACGGCCACCCCTGCCTGTAGCCACAGAAGACTAAACCTGCTTTCTGCCTTTATAGCTTTACTTGTTCTGGAAATTTCATATAAATGGAATCATCCGGAACTTCAGTTTTGAATCTGGCTTTTTAAATTTAGTATACTGGTTTGAGGTTCAGCAGTGTTCCATGTATCAGTAACTTGTTCCTTTTTATCAAAAAGGATAGGGTATGGATGGACATTTTGTTTATCCGTTTATTAGTTGACAGATGTTTGTATTTTTTTTTGTAGTTTTTCGCTTTTGTGAGTAGTGGCTTGCTATCTCTGTGTACATTTCTCTTGGGTAGATACCTAGGATTGGTGTGGCTTGACCATATTGTTGGTTTATGTTTAACATTTTAAGAAAGTGCTAAACTATTTTCCAAAGTGGCTGCACTGTTTCACATTCCCACCAACAGTGTTTCTGTACCTCACATTCCCAGTTTCTGTACCTTTATCAACAGCACTTGGTATTGTCAGACTTCATTTTCGCCATTCTTGTGGACGTCGAATCATACCTTTGGCACATAATGCTTTTGTTTCTCCAGGGTCTGAAAGTGTCCAGATACCCTAATATGCTTTTGACCTCCATTTTGCAGGTCAGAAGGCAGTGGCACAGTAAGTGGAAAATCTAAGTGTCTCACCCAAGATCCCCAAATGAGTCACTGAGTCCACAGTCCTCAGGCGTCAGAATTGCAACAACCTGCTTTTGTTCAGCCTCTTGGCTCCCTGTGACTCAGGGATCTCTGTGTCCCAGCGGCCTCATTGGGTGTGGCTTTCTTTTGATCTTTGCAGAAGGACCCATTCTTACCCTCTCTGGAATTTCTTCTGATGAAATCCATTTGCTTTCTGGGAGGCGTGCTCACAGCTTAGTGAGGTGGCCCTCCCTGCCCCTCAGCTGTAGTACCACAGGCCTTGGGTGGCTCAGGCCTGGCTTCCCTGGTGGTCCCACATTGGCTGTGCCGCCACCTGTCACCCTGTCAAAGGGTGTGGATACTTAACCTTGCCAGAGTCTTGTGAGAGTGAAGTGAGGTGACTTATCTAAGACAGCTAGCCCTTGCTAAATACTTAATACATTTTAGAGCACCTCTTCAAAAACATTGTGAAAGTAATTACCTGATGGCATGTGGGTAGCAGTATCATTCATGTGCATGTTCTTCTCCATGACAGTGAGACAGAAATATTTCTTAAATTTATTTACAGACTTAAAGTAAATTGGCCTTGGTTTCTTCCTGTAACTTGGTTTTTAGTTTGAAGCAAATATGGCAGTGGTACTTGTACAAGCCTATAGGGGTTTGTGTGTGTGTGTCTCTCTCTCATTCACTGTCCCTCTCCTGGTTTTATATGAAAGGTGACCAGTCGCATTGCTCATCGATACTGAGTTCCTTTGTTGGCCTCTCTCTCTGGTTTGTCCACTGCACTGGAGTTCACTGCCACTGTTCCTCTTCCGGACTGGAGGGACCCAGAGTGTTCTTCAGGCAGTTGATAATATTTTGTTTTCTAGCAAAGTTCCATTCTAGACCAGTTGATGATTATTTTTATACTTACTAAGTCATTGCTTTTATTTCTTTTGCTCAAACTACCTCTATTCAAAGTTCCCTTGAAGGCTGGGGGAGCTTATGCAGGTATCCAGCTAATGTAAAGCACTTACTAAGGGGCGCATCTCCTCCTCCATTGTCACTTTACAGTGTATTTCTTGTCTGTGGGAAAGTTCCAGCAACCTCTGTTACCTTTTGCTAGACAGTGTTGCAATGTTTTAATTAATTTCATGACAAAAAGTAAGTTCTAGTACAGGTATTGTCAATGAAAAGATTATTTTCTGTGAATAAATGTTTTCTGTGAAACAGAAAATAAATTATTTTCTATGAAACAATTTTGGTTATATTGAGTTTCTAAATGTTAAAGAAAACAGTTTTTACATTTGTGGAAATCTCATCTCGGTACCGTGCTCCCATATAGGACATCAAGAAGAACTAAAAGTGGAGGTAACTTCAGAAAATAACATCACCGTGAGCAAGGAGCTGATTAAAAATAACTGCAAAATTGCATATGCAAAATTATATATCAAAGTCACAAGGGGAGTATAGTGGTGTGAAGCTACCAGAAATCCTAAATACCTCAGTCTGCTGGGCCATGGAAAGGAAACGGAAGCGGGGGAGGGTCGCAGGGGAAGTCGAGTCACTCAGGTTTCATTTTAGTGCTTTTTGGGTGTCCGATGCAGGAGTGGAGTCATTAGACTTGGAGAAGGCCTTACAGTTTTTCTAAGTCCAGTTCCTGCACGTGAGAGCATGGAGGCCCTGTGAGTTTAGGTCATAGGTTGTGTCCCTTTTTTTGCTCTTTTCAGCTGTCTGTCTGGGCGGCCCCCCAGTATCAGGTGTGGAGGAAGAGCACAGCTTTGGGTTTCTGGTAACAGGAGTGTCAGACTGGTTTTTGTTGTTCTGTGACAGAGACACTGAGAGAAGCAAGGAAAGAAGGTTGTGAGACTCAGGACGCCCCTATGAGGCCTTCCTTTGTGGCCCAGAAACACTTTCTGATTGAGAGCCTTTTCCTGGTTGACAGAACACCAGTCCACCCTGGTGCAGAATTTGAGAACCGTCCCTCCAGAGAGCGGGCAAAGGAGACAGCTGGATGTCTGCAGGTTTGACATGAAATTTTTCTTCTCATATTAAAATAGTGAGTTATACAAAGTATAGGTCATTTGAAGTTTTGTGATGCTTATCATAGACCAAGCAACTGAGACATGAAATTGTTTTTTTTGTTGTTTTTTTAAATCAAACATAAGTGTGGCCAGATAACTAGGCGTTAAATTGGAATGCAGTAAAGGTAGTCTCACAGATGCCTGTTCTTCAGTTCTTGAAGATAATTTTTTCTTTTTAAATATTTTTTCCTTACCCAAGGATGTTATCATTTGCTTTTTTAGAGAGAGAGAGGAATGAGGGAGAGAGAAACACTAATGCAAGAGAAGCATCGATTGGTTGCTTCTGTTCACACCCAGTCAGGAGATCTGTGCTGGGGCCGGGGATCATATGTGACTAGACCAAGGGTTGCACATGACCACGCCCAGACTGGGGATGAACCTACAACCTAGGTATGTGCCCTGACTGGGAATCAAACCCACAACCTTTCAGTTATGGGCCGGTGCTCCAACCACTGAGCCACACCAGCCAGGGTGCAGATAATTTTTTAATGTATATGTTATTCATATTTTGATGTATTGCAAATTTAGACTTGTGTGAGGTTTTTCTACAGCCTATGACTTGCCTGTTTACTTGCAGGCCAAATTATACCTCCTCCGTTGCAAAACAGTATGGCTAAAACTAATGCTGAACTTGGATAATAAGAGGCTTAGTTTTCCAGAGCTCTCTCTACTGTTGTACTGTTGTGCTTTTCTCAGGGCAAAATCAGTAGAAATACAGTTATTTTATTTAGAAAAAAAGTTGCTTGTGTTTTCTCTGCAACACAGCTGACAGATACAGGATAGTTCCCAAAATGGGCTGGTGAAAAAAAAAGTAGGTAGCGAGCTGCTTCAGACTTGTAGAGGACACCCTCCCCTCTCAGCAAAACAAAAGGTGTTGGAGAGAAAGGCCTTGGATGATACTCCTGCAATACTAATCCTGGCATATTTTGAGTCTTTGTTCGAGGTTGAATCAGTGACTTCAACAGTAGTATTACCCAATCATATAGTACCAGACAAGCTGAATGATGCTGAACTACCTTCCAGCAAAGGATTATTGATGTACCACTGCATGTAGCTTGGGTATGTGTGAATACAAAAACACTCACACAGTGTATCTGTTTCATTGGCCTTTGACCTCCAAGCAGGGGAGGTTTGGGCCAAGGCTGCCATTATGGAGGGAAGTTATAGGTGTTATTTCCAGAGCTGACACTGCTTGCCTTTCACTCTGACTCATGTTCAGAGCTGTGTAATGCAGTTACTTTCATCGTGAGCCATCCTGGGGGAAGAGGCTCAATGGAAAAAGTGAAGGTGCAGCAAACCAGGCTCCAGATCAGAGGGCAAGAGATAATAACGCTTTTTTGTTTCGTTGTGAACTTCATAATCCCTTTCTTAGGAACTGTCATAATCCTAATGGAGTTCAAGATAATACAAAAGAGGAAATCTGACTTGTTGCTACCAGACTTCTTGCTCTTGTTCAAATTCTTAACAGAAGGAAGGAAGAAGAATAAAATACTGATTGTTGTAGATTCTGAATGTGTATTCCTAATTCCTCAGTTTTAAATATTTTTGTATCAACCCTGTTTTGCAATCATGCACTGTTCAGAGAAGAGAGAGGGGTGTATTATACCTATATGTGCTTCTTCATTGTTAGCACTTAACTTCAGAATGGTCTCCCAGCTTCCAGAGAGTAAGGAGCATCATTCACAGGAACATTAAGTACAGAGAAGCATCATTATAGTTTTCTTGGTAGGATTTTTTCCTGTGAAAAACTGTTACCAGCATATTTGGAAATACTTTTTTCTTCTCTTCCCTTTTTTTTTTTTTTTTACATTTTATTTATTTATTTTTAGAGAGGAAGGGCAGGAGAGAGGGAGAGAAGCAATCAATGTGTAAGAGATACATCTTTAAGCTGCCTCTTACATGCCCCCAGCTAGGGCCCATAACCTAGGCATGTGCTCTGCCTGGGAATTGAACCTGCAACCCCTTGGTTCGCAGGCTCACACTCAATGCACTGAGCACACCAGCCAAGGCATAGTGTCTTTTTTTTTAAGACAGTTCATTATAGTAAATCTTAATATCAGAAATAATTAAAAATTAAAATAGCTGTTGTAACAAGCTCAGTTAGAAAGTGTTCATTTGTCAATATCATTTACTTCCCAGTTTTTCAACTCAAATTTTCTTAGCAAGAGAATGTTAATCTTTTGTGGATGAATACTTTTTAAAATCTTTTTCCCCAAATGTGTGGTTTCCTATAATGCCTCTCTCCATAGAACTTGGGAGGTGGCCAAAGCTGTTTCTTGAAGTTGTGAAGTCCATTTCTCCCCTCTGTAGTCCTTCAGGATATGGGATTAAAGTCAGATAGATGGATTATAGTCCCCCTCTTCAACCCTTACTAGCTTTTGTACCTTGGACAGTTAGCCTGTATGAGCCTTGGTTTCTTCATCTATAAAATAGTTTCTGTAAGCATTTAGGAAAAGCTACTACTAGGTCATTGCTCACATTTTTAGTAATATTAGTAAAATATTGATGTTATTGATGGTGGGCTTTTCCCATACCATTTTCAGGGTTTAAAGTCCTTTGTCATCTCTGTCATTATGAGAAACAAAGAAGCCCTAAGAACCAGTAGGATAAGCCAAAGAATGTAGCCATAGGAAGGGTGGCCATAAGGGCACATGTTTAGAACATCAGTGTGGCATCTGTGGGCCAGCTGAAGTGTCCCCAGCATTAAGGCTAGGGAGGCAGCCTGAGTACTTCTCCAGCAGGTCCCAGCCACTCCTAGAGGCTTACCCAGGAATCTGCTGTGTGGGGCCACTCTGTCTCACGCAGTTACCACCTCTGGTTCTGTTGGACCTTTCCACTGGTCCCCTCTAAAGAAGGTTTTAGTTGAAGTCATAAGAGCTATTTTTATTGATTTTGATTCAGATCTTAAAGTGATCTCAATTTGCAAAAGGTCTAGCCATCCAGAAGTACAGTGCTTGCTGGTGCCCTGAGCACTGGAGAACTCCAGGAAGCTTTCAAAAGCAAGTGCTGAGATTATCCCCACTACTCACCACCTCCCAGCCTCCAGCAACTATGAGGTTTGAGTTTACAATAACTATCATTCTTATGTAGAACTGGCTTAGAATAGTAAGTTTCCCCAGGCACTGACTTACTAATAGAAACCCACTTAGAAGAAATGGGCCTGGTATTTGTCTCAAGTATGAGTAATGTGTTATGCATGATTTACAAAAGCTTAGCATAATGTCCTTGCTTCTGTAAATCAGGATCAATATTTTTAAGAGAGTCTTAAGAAATATTGACCGTTTCTATCAGATTTGATCCTCTTACCACTTTCATACTGACTGTTGTTTTTTTCTTATTCAGAAACTTAGTGCACATTAAAAAAAAAAAACTAAAATGCTTATTTTCTGTGTGTGGTGCATGGGCTGAAGCTTCCAGCTGGGACCTCCTGTCAGTAAGTAGGTGGCAGGGGCAGTCTGAGTGTCCTGGCTGTGGACAGTCAGAAAACTCTGGAGACTCTGACTAGCTTGTCCTTGCTCTTATTTCTTTCATGACCCATTTCCCAGCAGGGTATTCTATATGCTTGCTGCCCTGTCCCTTAGTCTTCCATGAATATTGTCAGCTCACAGAAGTCAGATGTGGCGCCGTTGTCTGGTCCACATGCTCAGTCGCAGCAGCAGTGCTGGCTGCTGGTTACTCCCTCGCCCTGCTGAGAGAAGGGCTGTGTCAGAGGGCTCTGTCATGAGCCCACAAAGCAGAGCTGATACATTGGCCTTCTGCCCAACTGAGTACAGCAGTGAGTGTATGTAGTAGGTGCTTGGTAAAAGTTGACTTGTTAGGTGATGGAAGGTGAAGGCAGATAAGTTGTCTTAGGACATCATACACAGTATGTCTGTTTAGCTGACTGAGAATATTCATGATGCAAAACTATGAAGGTGATACTGACTCTAACAGATAAAGCCTAACCTTGAGGTTTGGGAAGTAAGTGACTTGTATTAGACCTTAGTATATGAACTAAACACAAGAATTTTCTGATTTCCTCATTTCCTGATGTTCAGAGTGTCTATTATCATGCTTAGCCTTGTGCCCAGCCTGGGTTTACCCTTCACAAAGGTCCTGTGTTCATAGGGCAGTGGACTCTGCATTCCCAGGCCCAGCACTGCCCTGCCAGCAACAGGCAGTAATAAGTAAGCCCCTCCTGGTTACTGGCTAATAGGGCCATGACCCAGTTTGAACTCTGTAATAAGGAAAGAGCAGATTTATTTGCTCCCCCTGAGTGCCTCCCTCCCCCCATGCTCCTTTATTATCTTTAAGAGGAAATTAAACAGCAAAATTCTGCATTCTCATAATGTTAATGGCCTGATGTCATCTTTTCCACTCTGGAGTCAAGTAAGAGGGACAACCAAAACACAGATGTTATGCTTTGTAGTTGCCTAATGCTTTAGCTGTAGGCTGTGTGTGTGTGTGTGTGTGTGTGTGTGTGTGTGTGTAACAACCTGGAGGTATAATTCACATATTAAAATTCAGTGTATGTAATCTATGGATTTTTAGTAAATTTTCCAAGTTGTGCAGTCATCCACATCACCAGTCCAGTGTTAGAACATTTGCATTACCCCACTGACATCCCTGGTGCCCAGCAGCAGTCACTCTCCATTTCCTCTTCTCCCCTGCCCTCCACAACCAGGGATCCACTTTCTGTTCTTATAGATGTGCCTTTATGGACATTTCATATCTGTGGAATCCTGTAATATGTGGCCTGTGTGTTTGCCTTCTTTCACTTAACATAATGCTTTTGAGGTTTACCTGTTCTGCACCATGTGTCAGTAGTTTGTTCCTTTTTATTCCTGAACAGTATTTCATTGTGTGGATGTAGAACATTTTGTCTGTCTGTTCACTAGTTCATGGGCATTTGGGTGGTTTCAAGTTTGGGGCTCTCATGAATAGTGGTGCTTTAGAGACTC